AAATCTCGGAAAAGTTAACCATGACGAGCATTTTGCTAGTCGTTGTATTGACACAACTGCGAAAAAGTTGTGATAAACTATGAATTTTCTTTGAATCTTCTTGTTCTTGACAGTCAAGAGCTGTCTAGGAATTCGATCACCGTATAATATAATTGAGGTACTCAGAGAGAAGTGAGAAAACTTGCGTCACTCCCTCTTTCTCTTCCATGCGCTCAACTGACACAGTACACCCCCTAATTTCTTCTTTATCACTTATCCTCTGTTTTATATTTTTAGAAATTCATCCATCCGCATGATTCCCACATCTCCTTATCTATCAGGTCTTTTTCTCTATCTTTCTTGTTACATTACTTTTCAAGCTAAACTGCCTATCAACCGAGTAAATATTCTACTATATTTATCTTATAAGGACTGACAATCGATATTGAATTTTTCACTTAGAAAAATAAGGCCCTTGTTTTCTTTCATTCTTTCTGTGAAAGTTTTTCACTTCACCAACTACTCTATCGCTCAGTCTTTCGATACTTTCAATTCATACTTTAACTTTTCTCTCATCTTTCCTTTCTATCATGTTCACGTAATTTTTTATTTTTCATTGTGTGATTCTCTGCTGTTAAGTTCCTCTCGGTTCTCCTATTATGGGCATTAATATCGTAGATATAAATATATGTATCCAAAACAACCCTACACAGGTATTTTTTTCCTACTTTTATAAAGAATTTAATTGGATTCACAATTACGATTCATCACGAATCAACAAATTACAATTCATTGGTAAAATAAACTACGACGTAGTTTCGATATTATCCATCCTCTTATAAATGTTCAATTTAAAAAATATTAGAATCGTCCCCTATGGTCACGCATATACGTCTTAAAATTGATTTCTCCGTAATCCATTTTATATTTGGACCTCTTCAAACCCAAAGCTATTAGTAGTAGCGGTGAAAATTACGTCTAAACTCTATTTATCGATATTGATCGTTCCGGTATGGATAATCGCCGGATTATTGAATGGATTTGTACTCGCGCTGACTTGCCAATTTTACTTATGCAGAAGTCACACATCGACAAAAGCGTACCTGGCACAAACTAAGCTAAATAAATTACAACATAAGTTTCAGAATTAAAGTTATTTTCACTAATAACCGTACATTTATCATTTGTAAGATCTTTGATATGAATCAGTGATATGAATTCGGAAATAATTTTCTTTAATTTTGATTAACTTGTAGAGTTAGGCTTAGACCGGCTATAAAATACTTTTCATTAATGACTAATACATAATTATAAGAATACATGCATAGCAATGGAAATCGTAAAGCAGCGTTCATTCCATTGGACACATTATATTCGACGAAATTCTCAACGTAGCGTCGCTCTATTGCATTCTCTGTACCTAATATAACTGACAATGTACGAGTAGCTCTAAATGCTATTGTTAAAGCACGCGTAAATTTTATAGAAAATAAAATGAGCAGCTACATTTATAATCATTAAAAATGAAATTCACCCTTTCAGCCTACTCAGCCTAATAAGAGGTGGCACGATAGCATTACACATGCCACGATTTAGAGGAATTTATAACCCAACTCCACCTCCTCCTACCCACATTTCAGAGACGTTGCACTCATTGTGCAATCAAAGACCAATTTCCAGCTTGTTTTTAAAAGATTGGAGTGGTGCATCGCGTGATTAACGTCTGGATCAGTGTTGAGAATCGCTCAAAGTCGCCGGCAAAGTCGACGCGCTTCCACACACTCGCAGCCGACTTATTAAAACATTTGCATATATTGGGCTTCGAGGTGACGAAGCTCCGGTGTAACATTTGTATTTATTATTGACACATTCAAACAATCGCAAACAATTGAAAATTCTTTCCGATATCTTTTATCGAATTTCTATACTCTGTTACAGCAGTTTACTTATTTAACGAGTGGCAACGAGAGTAACGTAATAGCTAATGATTTTATTCTCATATTATCGCATTTATTCCTTCGTCTCTCATCGATCTCAACTTTCTTCGCTCGGTTTCTCCTGACTTTCTTTCTCACTTTGTGGTAACAACTTCATTTGATATGCGAGTACAAGGCTGTATTATATGTTACCAAGATATCATGTTACAATTCCCTAACGAAGGCTATACATTTATTTAAATTCGCGTTGTAAAGGCACTTTTAATTAAAATTCTATGATTTTTCTATGACCTTGAAGGAAGTTGAAACGCTTCCTTCCATTAAATCGCATCCCCGAGCTATTTCAATCGCAGCTAATTAAGTTGCAATATCAATGAAACAGTTAATTAATAGTTTGGCTCATTGTTCTTCCTTAAATACATGTAGAATTAATGTTCATTGATAAATCGATTACCGGCTACCTCTTCGAAAAAAGCTATGAATCTTTACGAAATTCTTTATCAAATGTTCTTTACCTTTTATTTACCAATACAAATTAAAGATTAAAGGGATAAGCCGATAATGCAGAAAAAAAATCTATAGACTTGAAAGCAATGGCTATTTGAATTCCAGTCCGTCCCTCATTGTTAGTGGGTAGAAGTGGTAACGGCATCCATGCGCATATAATAAAAGTTATAAGATTATAATTCGTAGAGACAGCAATAACCACAAAGAAATACAGAATTAACGTCAAAGTATTTGATTGATAGGACAAAAGGCTAAGCCGAGGATACGAGGATTAAAGTCACAGACAACGTTGTGAACGACTTGCTGTCTCAGTTATAAAAATCAAACGTGCGTGGACTGTCGCTTCTTTCTCGTCAAAATGCAGTGACGATGAAAAGAAAGTTAATCGCAAGGATGTTGGTACCGAATTTGTAGTCTTACTGTTACAAGAGAAAGGGAGGGTACATACAACAACTCTCAGAAATGATTGTATGTACTTTCTTAACTATTAAGTATATGTAAGATTGTTAACAAATTAAACATTAAACAACAAAAGTTATAAGGACTTGTTTAAGCCTTTGGGACTGTTGTAAGTAAAACTGAAGATTTAACATTCAATATGTCATTATGAAATTCTTAACAAAGTATTGATTAAAGCTAAGTGAAATCGAACAAGCAAGCAAATTTTAACGAAAAAGAGTATCGAGGAATAAAGTCCGAGCAAAGCACATTCATAAATAGCCACGTGTGTGCTTCGTAATTTTACTGAAACATTGCGACTAGCATTGATTTAGCAGCAAGTCGAGCATCCGGAAATTCTAGAGTAAAATTTTGACCAGCACGTGCACTAAAATGAAAATCTATGTTACAGTGTACAGATGCGAGACCCCCCTAGCGTCGTACATCCTACATGTTCAAAGTACGCGGAAGATATGCGATTCCATTTATCCTTTGGCATTTAATCACGTTTACCTGGGCATCGGCTGGACCATGTAATGATTCTCGATTTACATCTGCTACTTGTACTGTCTTTGTCGATTATCCCTACTAATAATTATTTCGGCTACTGTCTTTAAATCAAGCTCATCGATGAATGGTTAAATTTTCTTCGACGACCAAGCTATTCGCAGATATTTTTACTTGTTAGCTTTCGTTTTTATTAAACATGATTAAAAATGCAACACCACGATCTATACGATTTATGATGACTTGCGTAGCAGTTTATATTAATTGACGCGATACCAACGATCATTTTACCAAAACTTCTCTCAGCAGCACTTCCGACTTATATTATTTATCTTTATCATTAAAGTTATTGAATATATATATATATATATATATATATATATATATATATATATACACATATATATATACAATGATAAGTCATTAAAGCGAAGCTTTCGTCTTAACTGAGAATCTTTTATCTTCAATTTTCATTCAATTAGGATTATTCGAATTAATTGTATTGGATAATCGCACCAATTCTTCATTGGACAATTTTACAAGTATTAAGTTAGTTTTAGATATTATTGTTTTACTTAATCAAACTTGTACCCTTATTCCACATAAATATTACACTTGTAAAATACAACACGGGAACTTTATATTTTTTAATAATTAAATAAAATATAATTACAATTAATGACTAAATACTAAAAAAAAAAAAAAAAACAGAATTAACATATTATCTCATCAATATAGTAATAACGAAATAATTTACTTTTCAAGATAAAGTAAAATAATTTAGTTTCTCTAATCAATATATATTTTCAATAAAATTGAATTATAAAACCTATGTATTAAAAATATTTAATTCTTTTACTTTTATTTCATTATATTATATAAATATTTTAATTTAAATTTCTATAATTACTATTGTTAAGAAATTTACAAAATAATTGACTTTATATCTAATATTGATGTATTTTATTAGTTCAAAATTAATTTAAAATTGAATCAAACTAAAGATTAAAGAAGTATTAAAATGAATGTAAAATTGTATTGTTCAAATTTTTCCTTTACAAAGTGTACTTTGATTGGCAATAAAATAATAAGAAGATTAATTTATAAAAATGAATGAATTTGATTTTTAATTTAAATATTAGTTGATATTAAAATAAACTGCATTATTTAAATGTTCAACCAGTAATAATAATAATATAACAATTATGTTACACAATTAATGTTATGCAATTCGCATAAATACTTTCTATTTACGTATGTAAATTCAGAAACATTGCTTACGTGCGTTCCATCATTAAATATAATTATATAAATTAATGAATATAATGCATAATATAAACTCAAATCGTGGCAATTATTCTATTAATGTAACTAAGACAACAATGTTTTGAGACTAATGGAAGTTGATACAACAAATTTTTGTATCATTTGATACAATATACTACAAATTGGAAATACTAGAGAACAAATTATTGACATTATTTGTAAATTATGAGATAATCATTTATTCCTTTCGATACAGTAGAATAGCATGAAATTGATCCGATTCACTTGAAACTATATACAATATGTATTAATAGTACATGAATACATTGAACAATATTTTAAACATATATATTGCCATATAAAATAATTGTATTATACATTTTATATATCTATATCTATATATATTCTTAATTAAGTTATAAATAACTATCTATGTTTCATCTTCGTTGAGAAGCATATTGGGAATACCATCGTTAATTGGAAATTTCCTTCCTGTTTCGGGACACAATAAGTTACCGTTAATAATTTCAATTTCAAAAAGAGCATGATGCAGTTTTTTTAGAAACTCTTCATTTGTTTGATAATCTTCTGGTTTTTCGGATGGTAGGTCATTAGCGTAGCCCAACTATAATATAAATAATTTCAATTATAACAGCTATAAATTAAACGACAAATATACCTACGTTTATATTCAAAATCAAAACTTACAGTTTCCATGGCCGTGTACAAAACTGGATAATCAATTCTAGGAATGACTCTGATTAAAAAGTCAAGATTACAATTCACTTCGCATATTCTTAAATCTTGTACCTAAAAATTGTCAAATATTATAAATAATTTTAAATAATAAATTTGAAAATACATTTTAACTCACACAATTTCTAATCAATAAATTTATGTTACAAAGTTTATTATAAAACGGTTATATCGTAAGAACCATTACCTCAATTTTTAAAGGATATCCTACCAGGACACCTTTTAAACATTTGGATGTTAACATATTGTGTGTTAAGAGTTTCATTTTGCTTTTGTAATTTATAAAACTTTATTCAAAATAATTTCAAACTGTATAACAACTCTTTATATCACTTTATATTACTTTCGTATCAGTATTTATATCATTTCGTAAATTCACCAGTTATTTCTTATAGGTTAAACACATCGTATTTAAAACACAACATGCTAAGAATATTATTGATCATTCGAACTTTATTTTATAAACTACGTCCAATTATTTGTTTTGTTTTTTTGTTTTTTTTTTGTTTTTTTTTACAAATTACAGATAGATATTTATATACAGGGCACTTATGCAGAAAAATGTAAAGAATATTGTTGCATGGAACGTTAAATAGGCATTCTCCCTCGTAAACTCAAATCAAATACCACAGAAAGCAACCGGAAATAGCGATGGAAAGCAAGTATAAGCCAAATGATAAACCTATGCCAAGCTGCGTTGTAGATATACAAATCCATTGGTCCATTCAATATTCCCGGTTTATGGTGGAAAATGGAGTACGAGACTTTTAATGTCTTTAAAAACATTGAGCATTAGCACCTTCGCTGATGAGAATTAACGAGTTTACGATATAGTGGACACGCTTTCTTAATTACATCATTAATCAACTCTTACGACACATTTAATCCTTAATACACTCAGCTGTAAAATTACTTTTTAAAGAATACAGACTGCATAATGTGAATTTGTAGAGTGCAGCACTGTAACAACAGCCTGTTGCAAAGATATAAATATCTTCAAGTTAGTAATTGTTATCTTTACTTTAATTTATTTTGATTTTAATATATCTTATGAATGGAACAAGGATTTTTCGTAGTTATTCTAGAATCAAATTTTTGTTCACGTTTTCATTCTTTTGGGCTTAACTATTAATTACTATGCGCGACATTAATATCTAATGTATTTTATATGGATTTGACAAACGTCTTATTATATATATATATATATATATTATTATATATATATGTTCTCTATATATTTTCTATGCTTTGTTAATTTTTTTATTTGGATTTTTACATTTAATGGAAGCGAATTTAGCGAAATTGGTAAATAAGTAATATAAATTCATTTTATAAAAAGTATAATCTATATTTAAATTGTTATTTTTACCATATGAATAGTAATTGAGTTTTTTATTTTATATACTTTTTATATATTTTATAACTTTTACGATATTTGATATAAAAGTAATCGAAAAACAATAATTAATTTTTATCGATAGCTCGAATAATTCGATAGATATTTCCATTTATAAACATTCATTTTAACAATTATCTTTCTATTACAATGTTTAGTTTGATATTTAACGATACAAATATGATGATTTGCAGGGATGCTTATTAGCCAAGGAAATGGAGAAATTTTATAGAAATAAAGAAACCGAATCCATTTCGAAAAATAAAAGTAAATATGTTCAGCATTGGTTGGAACATAGCTTATATTCTAATACAGATATTCCCAATGGTGTTCAAAACATAAAAGAATGCTCGACTGCAATTAATAAGATAGATGGAACGTCATTTACAATTCCATCGTTACCGCAATCGGAGCAACAATATTTGCCATCGTGTTCAAATCCTATGTCACCTATACTGGGTGGAAAGCGCTTACGATCATCTAAAATTGCAAATCTTAAAAAAATTCCAAAAAAAAGGAAGATAACAAATTTGCAGGTGACACAGAATGGCGACGAAAGTAATCATAAAAATTTGATAAAACAAAAAATAGAAAAACCAAAAATACAACTGAAGTCAGAACAGTATTGTAAGCTACCGTTTTTGTGATTAAATCATATGTTATAATATTACTCATATTACTTTAATTTCAGATAAACAAAATTTAGCTGTCGAATCTAATAGTGATAAATTCTCACACAAAACATCCATCGTATCAGAATATGACAAAAAAATTGGTATTCCAAATATCATAGAATCCACAAATAAAGTAATTAAAAAAGACTTTTATAAAAATATTAAGAGAAAGATTTTTCTAAATACGTCGCATTTGGTAGAAGAAGTTATATCGCAGTTTACTGAGTCTATATCCAGTGAAAATGGAACTACTGATAGTACTGAAACGAATATACAAGAAATAAATACTGACTCTGATAAAACAGAAAGTGATCTTATAGAAGATATAAGTAGTCAAATTCTTTCAAAATCAATTTTTGAACAGAAGCAAATCTCAAATCCGGTATCTCTTTCATCAGAATCAATTGATAATATTCAAGATTGTGAATCGTTTATTATTGAAAGTACCGAATCTCAACATTGTACAAAGTCACTCGCTTCTTCGGATCAAATTAACAGTATTAGTACATTAGAATCGAAAGCAGAATATAGCAAACCAATTTATATTATACAAAACACATTTGAAGGCAAGAAAAAAAGAAAAATTCGCAAAAAGTATGTTGTAATTTAAAACTTATATTTGTTTAATGCCATTGAAAAATTCACCGTTATATTTTAATAATTAATTTCATTCTATAGGGGCACTTTATCGGATACTTTGTGCCAAAAGATGGGGAAAGAGAGGTCAAGTATAAATTTATTACGTCATCAGTTGTCTAAAAAGTCATCCAATAATATAGTAAAACCATTTGTTCTTCTTCAAATAATAGAACACTTACCAATGATCAATGAGAATCAATTATTGAAATGTGTATTGGTTGAAGACACTAATAATCTCTTAAGTAGTTTATTGAAAGAACAGACTCATCGATTTATAACTGTGATGAATGTACCTGAAATTTCTAATTTAATTAATACAAATCAAAAGCCAGTATTAAAGATTTTTGAACCTTGGACAATTCTAGATCCTAATCAATTATTTATACATATAACACAATTTATTGCAATTCCAAATGCACAAGAAAATGTCAAAATTACTCATAGTATGTATAGTAAAAATAGTAAGATTATGCAGGAATTACATTGTCCTTGTATAAAAGAAAAAATGCTTTCTGATAAATGTAAATCTAAATTTCAAGATAATCCATTTGATATAATCAAAGAATTGTTTACATATAAATAAAAAATAAATTTATATTTAGTCATATGATTATTAAAATTTTATTGTAAATACTAAAAATAAAATAAAATACATAAATTTATTAAAACATGAAGACAGTTTTTGTTGTAATAGAAAAATTGTATATCAACGCTTTGTTATTACATTATTATATTATTATTTAAAATGTATTAAGAATTAATGAATATGTATAAATTATTTTTAACTGTTTAACAATGTCTATTAAGTTTGTTTATGTAAAAAAAGTATATCTTTTTTAATAAAAAATTTTAATAAAAAATAAAATCCGTTTCGTTCACCTATGTATGTGAATAAATCAACTAAACCGTTACAAACTTGGAATAAAAATTTGTTGTAATATTTATTGAACCTAAATCTCGTTGATATTACAAGAGTAAAATAATCATCAAGTTACTAAAATACTATAATAATGCATTTTTATTTTCTTCTCGTCAATTCGAATATTTATTTATTGCACTTGTACTGTATAAATTCAATATTCTTCATCAAAGTAACTACATTAAAGGATTTAAATAACTAGATATTATTAGAACATATTACAAGAGTAAAGAAAAGTTTTTTAAATATTCAAAAATTATATCTAAAATATATTGCATTTTCAAATTATTGTTTTTTTTTGTTTCAGTCAACAGTTATTGATATAGAAAAAACAATTAACTTCATTGATTATTAAAAATATTTACGAATTATTAATTATTATTATTATTATTTATTCTATTCGAACTAAATTTATTTTTTATTTATTGTTTAAAAATTAGCATAAAATAGAATAAGCCAGAAGTAAATATATTAGATAAGTACCTTTATTATTAATGAATGTATTAGTTAAGGAAAATATGGAAAACTTTATAGCTATTTTAAAGCAATATATGAGTAAGTTGTTATCCAATTATTCTAAATAATAAATATATTGAATGTGAAATATATAAATAAATGTTAAGTGAAGCTCGTGACTAATTAAACTAATTAAAATGTATTTTATACTATGTATAAAATAAAACATTTTGTACTTAAATAAAACAATTTCTTATCTTCAATTTTCTTTAATAAACACATGGATATTATGGTCAGTAAAATAAAATGAAGTTCAAAATTATATTAATTTTCTTAATTATTTTTAACTGTTTTTACTAATAAAGCATTAATTGAAGCGAACCTGACATTGAATCTATGATTTATATAAAAAAAAAAATTATTGTTAATATTTGTAATCATAATGTAAATTTGCAGAATCAATTAGTCAATCCGCTGTCATTTTTATTAAATAAGTTTTAGTAGATAATCTATACGTTATCCAAACATAATTCCAATTTCGATTAATATAAATATATATTAATAACAAGTAGGCTAAGATTTTAATATCTGCATACGGTTTTGTAAAAACTATTATTGGTAAATACATATTTATCAATAAGTATCCAATCGCCCTTAACAAAAACGACATTTTCAACTTGTTTCATTATAGGAAATGTGTGTTAATAAAGTACAAGTGTATTTTCATGTTTACTGTCATACGCATATATTTGTTGTGTTAATGTTTACACATTATTTATATAAACATATGAGAGTGGCTTTTCTATTAACACAGTTCGCGGTATTTACATTGATATGTCTATAAATATACTTTCATTTTATACTTTATATTAAGACAGTTTATACACTCTATGCTTTATGTGTTTATTAAATGAAATGAATATTCGCTTAAAGCTATATACATCAGCCACGAGCATTTGATTTCACATGTTGTGTCACGGCTATTGTCGTTTGTTGGTGAAGAATGTAAACATAAGCACTTGTCTATCCGAGCATATGTACATTCTAATAAGCCAATATCAGTTTAATCGGTATGCATATGAACAGGATCATTCGCTAAAACATGAAAAATTATCTGAACTTGTACGTTGTAAATGCACACAGATATTCTACTCTAATGTGCTCCTTTAATAATATTTGCTAATTTAATTTTATAATCTTTACAAAAGTCGAATTCTTTTTTGTGCCGTGTTTATAGACATCGCGATAAATGTCAATGGCATGGAAAGTGATTCAAAATTATAGTCCATTTTTTCGAAAACTTTTTATAATCTCAAATTCTCATCGACGGACTATTCATATAATCCATTGTTTAAATCAACTCTTAAATATTATAAACTGACGTAGAACAGTGGCGATTGAAATAAATGAACATAATGCGCGAGTGCATTTCGTACATATAATTAAATTAAATAAATTTCACCATAAATTGATTATTAGTGTCAGACGATAATACAAATAGTCGAAGGAATTTCAAAAACGCTGGAGAGAAAAGTCCAAAGGAAGGTATTAGAGGCAAAGGTATCAGATGCATTGGCGGGGATCGCGCGGACCTTGTGATGCAGCTTTTGCTCGACGAACGATAGCTAAGGGCTAGAAATAAGGACAGACCGGAAATTTGGCGCACGCGTACTAAAAGTACTTTCAAAAACATTATTTAAATTATCAATTTTGAAGATAAATTTAAATTATTAATTAATAAATTAAATTATATTATTTTCATATATTTTGTAAGTAAGGAAATTCAAAAAAAAAAAATAAAAAAATGTCCTTTAGTATAATTTCAGTTAACTTGCTCAACCATTTGCCGTAATTATATTATAAATAAATGATATAATTATATAAATAAAAAATACTTTAAAGTCATAAATTTACTATACATTTCATTATAGAAAGTGTAATGAATATTTAATCATTTACTTTTAATTCTTCGTAATTAATATTGTTTTCATTAACTCTATTTTTACACATCTCTGTATCGTTGAATCGTCATCAATGTGATTATTATTGTTGAAAATCAAATGATTTAAAGAAATGGTTTATAAATTTACTTGTATATTTAAAAAATATTGTAAAATAAAGTTATTTCAGAAAAACGTTAATTTTTTTTTCTTTTTTAAAACGTTTTTTTTTCATACTTATTAAATACTCATTAATTATCATGAATTTTTTATGTACATATTTTTCATTTTAAAATTTTAAGTGAAAATTAACGTATGTAATAAAATTACTAAATTATGTACAAAAGATCGATTTCAATTTGTATACCATGTTCCCAGGTTATTAATAAATAATTGGTTTAATAATAATTTAACAATTTCATGGTATAATAGTTATATTAATAAACTCAATTATCATTAATTGAAATTAATATTTAACTACTCATAGTTTCTTCGAATAAATAGAACATTTTGAATAATGTAAATTGCTTAAACGGATAATATAAATTCAAATTAATCTTTAAAATGCTATTTGATTAATTACTGACAATAATTATTTAAATATATATTCTATTTTAATAATTTTTTTCGTAATTCAAATTGCAACGGATTATTATGGAGATGTTATTGAAAATTCTACTCGTTTTCAGTTTTTTTCATCTTATCAAAAATACTTAAAGACGTTAGATACGTATTAAATTCACCATATCATTTTTGTTTTAATACAACACTGTAAATACATATTAATAATAAAAGAAATAATTATTTGAATGGATTTTTAAAACGTATAGGTTGCAAAATTTTTTTTAAAGTAGCATAATCATATTTATATAATTCAATAAATGTACTAACTAAATTATAAATTTATATATTTAAATTATAATTATATATTTTATAATTATAACAATATTATATTAATTTAGTGATTAAAACTTTCAAAGAATGTTAAAATTTTATATAAAATTTATATTTAGTTTTAATAATCCATCAATATAAATCATACACAATTAAATGTCTTTCGACTTTACAATAATACACGAAATACTATTTAACATATAAATAACATATTAATTAATTAATTATTTCATTTAACCAATTATCATCGTAATAAATTAATTAGTGTTATTCACTTTAGAAAGATAATTAACATACCAAACAGATTTCTTTAATAAAATAAATTTCGAAGATTATATGCAAATATATTTCAGTGTCATCCATATGATTATCTACTAACGCATATTTGATCCTTTTCTTCACTCTGTAGTTACATTACTTATATCAAATTGTAATTTATGCACGGCTTATATTCTCCATACGACTAAATTCATGTAAATTTTCGTTTATAGACTGAATCATTCATGTAATATTCAACCCTCATTTTTCAATTATGCAAAATCGACGGTACATAAGAACAAAAATATTTGAAAAAATTTACAGAAGAAAAAGGGAAAAAAAAACAATATTTTATCCTTGTCGTTAGGTACGGAGTCTTTAACAATAATCGTGCACGACTATATGCACGAGCATGCAAAATTTGCAAAGCTTACGATTCCAACTACGGACAAGGACTATATGTACTTCGGTGCTGTAGAAGCTAATTGGCGAATAGAATTACGAAGGCAGCCGCCACGAATAGGCGTTCGTAGGGCACCGCAACACGTCCATCCTAAGCCCAATTTTCTCCAAAATGGGATAAAAATAACAATAAAAATTAAATATCTACCACAGCTCAGTAGATCATGTAGTACTGCATCTGCGAGAATGAATATATGAATCGGGTGTATGACGAGCTTTTTTTAATTCATTTAAATTTGTTTTGTGCTTGGAGTACAGTAACATCTTCAACCTTGTACCAACAATAAAGTGACAGAAAAAAAATAATAAAAAAATAAGCACATTATAACGAGATTTGTGACTCTTTATCTAACATTGATAAGAACTTCCGGATAACAATTTTTTATAACTCTTTTATTCAATTATTCGAATAAAGTGACGTTGGAAACATAAAAAAAAAGAATAAGGGCTCGATATCTTTCAAAATTACGTATATTAATCATTACTTATTCAGTTTATCGAAGAGTATTGTTTATTTTTTGAATTATACATATGTTGGCTAAGTAATTTTCTTCGTTTATATTTAAGGCGTAAAAATTTTCTATAAATTTTATTCTCTATAAATTTAAAGTAATTTCATTAATGTAGCTTTCCATTTTTATCGCTCGAGACAAA